CAATAAATATATGAAAAGACAAGGATTTAAATATTTTTCAATCTATTCCTTAATGCTGGATGGTGGAACTATTGATTCAATTGGAAGGCTAGGATTGTACTTTTGGGATGTTATTTTAGTCTTGATGGAGACTTTATATTTGATTATTATTTACTGGGGCATTTAAATCTATGCATTTTTGTATAAATGGTGATGACTTGTTCGTTTCGTGTGGTCAGTTGTGTTTGAAGGTATATTCCAGTCTCTGTGTATGTGTGTACTTAACACGTGTGTGTGTGTGTAATTTGGGTCTTGGTTTTTGGTATGTATGTCTTTTTTCTTTATCGTTGTTTGTAGATGGTTGTAGTATTCGTGGTTTTTGCTGGTTCATGATGGTTTATGTAAGCTGTATATAAAAGGATAGCATTCTTGATTACTAGATTTCACCCTAGGCTGATACTTTTCTTGATTTTGTTTATGGCAGTTCTTTATGCCGTTTCATGTGAATAGACTATTACTCTCATTTTATGAGCATCCCATGTCAATAGTATTTTTTATATTTTATGTATGATTATTTGTTAAATTTGGTGTTGAAGTTGTTTTATGGTTTTGTTTTGGTATCAATTTAAGATATTCACTTGAAAGGTCTGTAAGATTTTACTTCAATTTTGGTTAACTTGGTGTAACAGAAATATGGACGGATATTTACTGTTTCTATTATGTTTGCTGTATTATCTTTCTTCTGCATAACCAATTCCCCCCCCCCCCTCTCTCTCTCTCTCTCTCTCGATAGGTTGAGGCAAAGAGAGCTTTATCAAGAGATGAACAGCAAAGTTCAAAAGATGGAATTTTCAGTGCTTCTAGAAGTTTCGGAAGTGGTGAGAGTACTAGGACAAAGAAAATATTTGTTGGGGGGTTGCCCTCAAATATTGAGGAAGAAGGATTCCGTCATTATTTTGAAGCTTATGGAACCGTAACTAACGTTGCAATAATTTATGATCAGCAGACCAACCGACCTCGTGGATTTGGGTTTATTTCATTTGATTCTGAGGATGCAGTTGATAGTGTTTTACACAAGACATTTTATGATTTAAATGGTAAGCAAGTGGAAGTGAAGCCTGCTCTTCCTAAAGATGCCAACCCAGGTGGCATTGGCCGTTCCATTGGTGGTGGAACTGGCCGGCGTGGCAGTTATCAGGGATACGGTCCTCCTGCTGGCAATTCAAGCTCCTATGATGGTCGAATGGATTCCAACAGGTACATGCAGTCTCAAAATGCTGGGGGTCGTTACCCACCATATGGTCTATCAGGTTACAGTGCTCCTGGTTATGGATATGGTCCTGCCACTAATGGCATGGCTTATGGTGGCTATGGAAATTATGGAGGTGGGAATTCTGTATATGGTGCTCCTTCAGCCTCGGGTTATAGAAATCCTAATGCTGGCTATGGTGGTGCTCCAGTAAATACTTCCCGAAGTTCTTGGGGTTCACAGGCTCCCTCTGGATATGGGAATATGAGCCTTGGAAGTTCTCAATGGGGGAGCGGTGGCCTGGGTAGAGGGGGAATCGCTACTGTTCAATCTCCTAGTGGAGCTTCTGGATATGTAAATCAGAGTTATGGTTATGATGGATATGGCGGAAATGACGGAGCTTATGTTGACTATGGGGCTATCGGTGCTCATTCAGGAAGTGGTCCAAATGGCAATGCATCTGCAGGAGAGGCTCCATACAATAATTAATTTTTTAACATTTACAACAACATTACATTAATCCAATTAATGACATGTTCAATATTAGCTCGTACACGATATGTATTAACACTTACATGATTACATAGCTCAATTTAAAAATATACAAATAACAAGTTTTCTAATAAGATCTATTCATCAATGTATACGGATTACCTTGATCAAAAAGTGGATAGTTACAAAGTTGTTTTTGGGCTAAAACAAGGAAAATGATATTTTGGGCTCAATTAATTAGTTCATAAATAAAGCAAGAAAATGATATTTTTGAGATCAATTAATAGGTTGGCAAATCAAACAGAAAAAAATTAAAATAATTTGACTTGTTTAATATAAAAACATTAAAAAAATTAAGGAGGTTTGATTTTTATTCGGTTTTTGATCTAAAATCAAGAATCGAATGAAACCTCTCAGTTCTAGATTCTGATCTCCATTCGGGTATTTAATTTACGAAGAACCACTCGTTTCGATTTAGTTCGGGTCGAGTTTGGTTCGAAAGTTTTGTCTAGCCCTAGTGCATTTTCCTTAATTAGGGTTCTCAATTTTTCCATTTCGGTGATGTTAATCGATTACAAGTGATCATATAATCATGTCATGCAATAAATATATGAAAAGACAAGGATTTAAATATTTTTCAATCTATTCCTTAATGCTGGATGGTGGAACTATTGATTCAATTGAAAGGCTAGGATTGTACTTCTGGGATTTTATTTTAGTCTTGATGGAGACTTTATATTTGATTATTATTTACTGGGGCCTTTAAATCTATACATTTTTGTATAAATGGTGATGACTTGTTCGTTTCGTGTGGTCAGTTGTGTTTGAAGGCATATTCCAGTCTCTGTGTATGTGTGTACTTAACACGTGTGTGTGTGTGTGTGTCTGTAATTTGGGTCTTGGTTTTTGGTATGTATGTCTTTTTTCTTTATCGTTGTTTGTAGATGGTTGTAGTATTCGTGGTTTTTGCTGGTTCATGATGGTTTATGTAAGCTGTATATAAATGGATAGCATTCTTGATTACTAGATTTCACCCTAGGCTGATACTTTTCTTGATTTTGTTTATGGCAGTTCTTTATGCCGTTTCATGTGAATAGACTATTACTCTCATTTTATGAGCATCCCATGTTAATCGTATTTTGTATATTATATGTATGATTATTTGTTAAATTTGGGGTTGAAGTTGTTTTATGGTTTTGTTTTGGTATCAATTTAAGATATTCACTTGAAAGGTCTGTAAGATTTTACTTCAATTTTGGTTAACTTGGTGTAACAGAAATATGGACGGATATTTACTGTTTCTATTATGTTTGCTGTATTATCTTTCTTCTGCATAACCAATTCCCCCCCCCCCCTCTCTCTCTCTCTCTCTCTCGATAGGTTGAGGCAAAGAGAGCTTTATCAAGAGATGAACAGCAAAGTTCAAAAGATGGAATTTTCAGTGCTTCTAGAAGTTTCGGAAGTGGTGAGAGTACTAGGACAAAGAAAATATTTGTTGGGGGGTTGCCCTCAAATATTGAGGAAGAAGGATTCCGTCATTATTTTGAAGCTTATGGAACCGTAACTAACGTTGCAATAATTTATGATCAGCAGACCAACCGACCTCGTGGATTTGGGTTTATTTCATTTGATTCTGAGGATGCAGTTGATAGTGTTTTACACAAGACATTTTATGATTTAAATGGTAAGCAAGTGGAAGTGAAGCCTGCTCTTCCTAAAGATGCCAACCCAGGTGGCATTGGCCGTTCCATTGGTGGTGGAACTGGCCGGCGTGGCAGTTATCAGGGATACGGTCCTCCTGCTGGCAATTCAAGCTCCTATGATGGTCGAATGGATTCCAACAGGTACATGAAGTCTCAAAATGCTGGGGGTCGTTACCCACCATATGGTCTATCCAGTTACAGTGATCCTGGTTATGGATATGGTCCTGCCACTAATGGCATGGCTTATGGTGGCTATGGAAATTATGGAGGTGGGAATTCTGTATATGGTGCTCCTTCAGCCTCGGGTTATAGAAATCCTAATGCTGGCTATGGTGGTGCTCCAGTAAATACTTCCCGAAGTTCTTGGGGTTCACAGGCTCCCTCTGGATATGGGAATATGAGCCTTGGAAGTTCTCAATGGGGGAGCGGTGGCCTGGGTAGAGGGGGAATCGCTACTGTTCAATCTCCTAGTGGAGCTTCTGGATATGTAAATCAGAGTTATGGTTAGGGTGGATATGGCGGAAATGATGGAGCTTATGTTGACTATGGGCTGGCGGTTATGATGCTAGTGGTAATCTAGGATATGAAAACTTGGGATGGCAATCTGATCCTATACAGGGCTCTGATAATTTTGGGCAACAATCAAGTGGGCCTAACTATGGCCAAGTTGGGTATGTTAGTGCACCTGCTCGACCGAGTCAGCAGCAGTGAATATACCCTTTGATTTATCCTGTCCTTGTTGGAGGTTTTCCCATCAACGCTTCTCGTTCATGTGCATGGTAGATAACTCATGCAAGATGCCACCTATGTATTGGGACTAGTTTGGATTGCTTGATTCCCATTAGTTAGCAGTACTTGCTTGCTCAATCTAGAATTAGTAATTCTTGAGGATTAGTGTTACCTCACATTCTATTTAGTGTAGTTTCAGATTACACTTGCTTATATTGCTATATTCACCGGATGATCTTAGTCTTTGCTTGTCATAATGTTTGACATATTGTAGCTTATATTTAATTTCATTTGAGTTAAGTAATTAGCTGTACACATCTCGGGGAATTCAGTTATTTAATCAAGAAAATTTTCTATTTCCAATTATGTTTTCACATGTATCAGATAGAACTATGTTTATTGCATTCTCGGGTAGATCAATGTAATAATGGGCAACAACAATCTTGTTGGTAGTAAATTTTGTCACTGGTATAATCATTTTTCTCCCCGTATTTGCACTTTTTATGTACAGGAGGTGCTCGCTTTGCATGCCAGGAGACCTGAAGTTCCCACTCGAGCGAAACACGATCCAAGTGCAGGGTACATGTTTAGCATGGAATGGGACTCATTGAACTCATCTGGGGTGAAATGATTCATGAGCTGAAAATTTTGTGCTGATGCTGTCAAGCTGGAATCTCTCAATCATCATTGAGGTATTCAGGCAATCAAGATCAACAGCAAACAGTTATGGTACGTTGATCTTAGAATAGTATTCATTTTAACTATCTCTTCATAACTGTAATCTTGTTAGTTCTGGATATTTTAATTTTTTTAAAATTTTGTTATCACTTAGCTAATTTCAGCATTCTGAACTACACTTCATGGTCCCAGCAGGAATGATCTACCTCAACTTTCCGAATTTTTACTGGTTTTGAATTTTATTGCTCACTTTTCATATAAAATCTTGGAGCAGAAGTGTAAACCAGGTTGTGCTGGTCGACACGGTTAGGTTTTAAGGTAGATAGGTTCATGGCGCTACTGGGATGTACTGGACCTATTACCGAGTAGGCTAGCCAGTGGCAGATCTAGGTGGTGGCCGTCCTAGTTGGATTCGTCAGGGAGAATTTTTTTTGCTGATAATAGATAGAATTTTTAGATTATATATTTAATAATTCACATTAACAACAAAAATCTCTCATAGTTCAGCTGGTTAGCCTTTCCACTATTGAATTAGAGGTCCTGTGTTCAAAATTCTTCAAGAGCAATATTTTTTATAATTTTTGTATTTCAACAATTTTTACCAAAACAAATGCAAGGAAGGTGATTCAAACCTACTACATTCCTTAAACATATTTGCCACTTTACCATCATGTCACTTATTGATTTTTAGCACATAATGTAATAAGATAATATATGTTCTACTTTACTGGTTTAATGCAAGTAGAAACATTTTAACCAGTGCTTTGTCTCTCTTCTTGATTTTTTTTCGTCTCTTTTTTCCCTTCTAATCAGTTTTGTCTATTAATGATAGATAAATTTATAGGAAAATTGGCCTTAGTGTCATAAAGAATTTTTCAACAAGACTTATTTAATTAATAAAAGGTTTCACTTTTCGCTCACAAAAAATTGATTGCGAAAAAATGAAATCATACAAGCACATAAAATTGATATAAGCACTTAAATAATGTCAATCTTGTTAATATTTTACTGCTTGTTTAATTAACTTTAATTATAAACTGAATATTGAGATTTTGTTAATATATATTGCCTATTTAATTGAAAAATAAATTAGGGCATTTTGCAGATTATGAAACGATTTTTTCATCCAAAATGAAATTTC